TTTTAAAGAAACAACAGCAAAGCCTAAAATTTAAGAGTCTGGGGCAACTTCCCATGGGAGATATCTCAGACAGGAATGGGGGGCAGAAGTAGGTGCCTCAAAGACCCCTGCTCTTTCCCCGTGCCACAGCCCCCTCGCTTCAAAAGAAAGCCCAGCTGGATGTTGTGTCCCCACTTGGCTGCAGGCCTTGGGGCAGGGAAGAGGCAAACTGCAGCCTTCTCTTGTTGATCCTTGTCCCCCCTGCCTGTCAGGATAAGTTAGTCACTGTTTTCCTCTCAGGCAGCCCCCTTGCCATCGTCCTGCTTCCCAAGGCCTGGTGGCTTTGCCTGAGCTCTGGCGCCACAGTCCCAGAAGGGCTCCCAGGCTCCCCTGGACAAGGCTGGGAGCTCCACCATCCTCCATGAGAACCGTGCACCCTCAAACCCAGCCTTGTCTGTTTGTCTTTCCTTAACCAGTCTGTAAACCGTTATAGTTTGGGAATCGTCCTGTCCATCTGTATAAATGTAAATGTTGACCCAGTCAGTATTTATTCTAATTTTTATTTTATTTTATTTTCTCTGAGGGGTGAGATTGTGGGAACTGTACCACTGGTCACAGCCTGGGTAGCTTCAGAGGCTGGGGCCCAGATGGCTGCCAAGAGGAGCAGCCCCCTCGGGGCCACCCCAGGCAGCCGCCTCCAGGAAGCCCAGTTCCAGGCTGTTATCTGGCATCAGAGGCCGGCCAGTATTCCTTGTCCCACAGTAGCTCAGGCCTGCTGTGGCATGGTGTTCCTCAGCTGTCCAGGCAGTCACTTTGCTGGGAAACCTCTGTCTAGGCCCTGAGGGTTCAGGTCAGAGAAAAGACAACTCTCCTCTGCTCAGGACGCTTGCATGGAAGCGCTGGCCACCTTGCCTGAGCCATCTGGGAGCCGGACAGCAGGACCTACCTCCCTGGAGCAGGAGTCTGGGGCATCCCACCAAAACTGCAATGGAATCCTACTCATGCTGACACCTTCCCCCCATTGGTATGTCCTGCTTTCCAGCTCAACCCAAACTACAAGTGGGTTTAAAAAATAAATACCAAAACCCAAAAATGCCCTGAATCTGTGTCTTTTGTGTGTTCAACAAAGAAATCCTTTCCCAAAGGCTTTTGTGCCCCACTCAGCTGGTGTTGGCAGGGGCCTCTGAAGAGCCCTTTCCAGGCGGTGAGCTAATGAGAAGAGTCTGTCCACTATGTGGCCACTATGGGGAGCAAGGGCAGGCTCTGGGGCTGGGTGACACAGTTGTGAAGCAGTTGGTCCAGTAAAACGTGGGTGAAAGAGACTTCTGCCCTCAAAAGCTGGGCACTGTGGTCTGTCCAGGGTGTTAGAATTTCTTAGAGAAAGTGGCTTTCACAGTACAGCTTTGGTATGCTGCATTTTTAACCCCACCACCACCACCACCAACTACCCCTTCCCAGGAAATGTCCCTGGGGCATTAGTAGTGACTCATTTGAAGAAATGCTGAGACTTGGGCCTAGCAGTTTCCAAAAGTCGGCAGCAAGAGGCTGTTCCTCAAAGGTTCCCAAAAGGTCTCAGTAATTTCTTTTCCTGTGATGACATGTTCCTCGTTGTACACAGTCCCGCGTGGCAAGACAGTGGGGACTCTGCCTCCTGGTAACAGAATCTCACTGGGATTCTTTCTGGCTGGCACTTGCCCTGTCTTTCAGCTACTTGGGTGGCAACCAGAGTATCCACCCTTCATCCTCTCCTGGCCTGGCTGCTGAGATTCAGCTGCTGACTCACAGAATCACACCCCGCCATGATACTGCACACGGACAGCCCAAAGGATACAGACTGGGTAGAAGGAAATAACATTTGAATTAGTAGAAGCTAGGTTTTGGTTGTTTTGTTTTTTTGTTTTTTTGTACCTGGGATGGAACTCCAATCTGAGCTAAAATCCCCTGCCCAACATTTTAATTAAACAATTGAGATATTTGTAATACCATTTTTTTTTCAACAAAATGCAAAAGAGTAGCAGCAGAAATTGGAGGTGAAAAAAAAAAGTGTTTGAAGGTAAGGTAGAGGGGTAAAAAGAATGAGTCCTACCAACAATTCACCCAAAGGGAGAGATTGTTCTGAATGACTTAGTCCTGCTTCTGAAGGTTCTGAATTGCTCCTATGAAACCCATCATCCAAATAATAAATGTTTCAATCCTGCATTTCACAATCATCTCTGCTAATGTGTGTTCTCTGTCATCTTAAACAGTTACATTTGTATTGGATCTACAGGATACATTTGTAATGGTCTATGGGATACATGTGTACTAGTCTATAAGAAGGCAGGGGAAAAAAGGCAGGAGCAGGAAATTTTGATTTGGATAAATAAGCTACGTCTCACACTCACATGTGCACACACACACAGTCCCCTTTAAAGCACCAAAGCAGGGCCTGGGATTTACCTCAGAGTTACCACAGCCTGCCTCGAAAGTGCAAGGTCCTGAGTTCAGTACCCAGTACCAGAAAAAAAAAACAACAAAAAAAACAAAGGTGGCAGACAAAGAACGGAACAGCAGAAAGGGAAGGAGTATCACTCCTTAGTGTTAATGATAGCATTTCCCCAATTCCCTCCATGGCTTCAGAGTCTCCCATAGACTGTCTCAGCTGATCCGGTGAAGCAGGCAGACAAGTATCTTCTTTGTCTTTCTTTTTGTTTTCTGCAGCGCTGGAAATGGAAACCTAAGCAAGCACTCTACCACTGAGCTATCTCCCAAGCCCAGTGATTTTGATTCCCATTTTACAGATGAACCAAAGGCCAGACAGTGACAAGGCAGGGCCCAGTGTGAGAGCCAAGTGCCCTTTCCAGTAGCCCAAAAAGCCATCTGTGCTTCTCTTCCCACCTCCGGTCAATCACCCCAGAAAACTTGAGCAGCTCACTGCCCGCCAAGACAGCCTGGGCAGGCCACACAGGTTTACTTCTGTGATGTGAAAACCAGGGCCGTGAGGAAACAGCTATGAAGAGAGGTGGGCAGGGGGAACAATGATGCGATTTGATGCTGTTGCAGAAAAGGATCCATCATAATAATGTGCCGTGTGTCCTATTGGATTTCCATTTCCTCCAGGCCAGTGGTTCTAGTGTGGGTGGATGATGAGGGAAACCTCAGGGGGCATTTCAAAGGTTGGGGCTGATATCCAGATTTGCACTTGCCTAGAAACTTTTATCAAGCTGCATGCTCAAACAAGACCTTTCCTCTAAAAAGAAAATTAGATTTTATAACTATATTGATATAAAGACAAAACATATTAATATTATTTATTAACACATCTTCTCCAACCTAGAGGTTCTTTTTTTGTTGTTTTGCTTTCTGAGAAAGGGTCTCACTGTGTAGTTCAGACTGTCCTTGAACTCACTGTGTAGCCTAGGCTGACCTTGAATTCACAGCAGTCCTCCTGCCTCAGCCTCCCGAGTGCTGAGATAGATGTGCCACTATGCCTGGCTTAGATTCTGATTTTAAAAAAATATTTTGACCAGGTGTGGTGGCACACACCTGTAGTCCTAGCACTCAGGAGGATGAGGCAGGAGGATTGTCATGAGTTTGAAAGCAGGCTGGACTACACAGTAAGTTCAAGTCCAGCCTGAGCTACATAATGAGAACTTGTCTTAAAAAAAAAAAAAATTTGTGGGCCCCTAGTGTATTCAGATTGCTATAACAAAGTGCCATCAACTGAGTGGCTCATAAACAAAAGGAATTTATTTTTCCCAGATCTGGTGGCTGGAAGTCCAAGATGAGGGGACCAGCACAGTCACACTCTAATGAGGGTCCTCTTCCAGGTGCAGCCTGCTGCCCTCTCACTGTGTCCTCACACGACAGAAATTGGGTGAGTGTGTCCTGGGTCCCTTTTATAAGGGCACTGACCCTGTTCACGAGGGCTACATCCTCATGGCCTCCCAATCGCTTCACCTCCGAATGCTACCGTATCAGGAGTTAGAATTCCAGCTATTAACTGGGCTGGGGACAGAAACGTTCAGTCCATAGCAGCACCTAAGTACTGTGCCTAATGAGAACAATGGGCATGGCAGTTACCTGAACAAGGAAGTCCATGCTCCCCTGCTGCCCAACTGGTCTGGGGATGACTCTACCCAGTAAGTAAGAGTGGTCAAAAGGGCAGCTCATTCCACAGGCTTCCAAAGAGGTGCTGGCAGCTCTGGAAGCCAGGGCAATAGCTGCTTCTGCTCTAGCCTGACTGCTGGCCTGGAGTGCAAGGCCACCAGCCAAGGAGACTCTGTCACTGAAAGCCAAATCATCACACCATGCTCTCTTCTCACAGCCCTTCTGTTCCTTTGAAGGAAGGAAACAACTCTTTTGCCCATTTCACACTTGGAGAAACTGAGGCCTAGAGAGTCATAGAGCAAATGGTGCTTTATGTATTCCACATACATAATCTTATTTGATACAACAGTCCTACCAGATGACAGATATTTTTAACCTCATTATAAAGACAGAGAAACAGGCTTTGAGAGGCAGAGTGATAAACTCTTACCATGTGACCAGCAGCCACAAAGACCTTAAACTATTGTTTTCTTAGTCCTGAGATAGAGGTCTAGTTAGTGCATGTGGATCAGGCTGAGGATCTACATACCTTGTCACCTTTTCTGCCTTGTGACTTCACCCAGTCCCTGGTACACAGTTTGTACCTCCTTCTGCCCAGCCACATGGGTGCCCAGTTTCCCGACTCTAATGGGTTTCTCCACCTGTCTCCCTATTCACTGAGTCCTGAGCACTCACAGCCCCATTTCCTGATTTCACGCAAGCATCCAAGCTATGGGAGTGATTAGCCCTAGTGACAGATGAAGTCTCAGAATATGGCTAGGATCCACAGATGACCTAAAGCAGAGATGGTTGCAAGTGTGATCCTCTCTCCCACCATCACCTGAGTACCATCACCTGTCCCAACACTTGAAAACAAAACACA